TCTATACAGTAAGTAAATTGTCATTATCCTTTAACAAAGTTTTAAGATTCTCAATCTTCTTGTTATCAGGAGATCCAAAGACAACAGAGATAGTACAAAGCATAAGTTTTTATTAACATTTTCTGTTACAAAGTATTGCATGGTATAGTGTTAACAAAGTTTTACAAGTACATATAAAATGGATTTAACCATTTGTCAATTTTAAAAGCACAATGTCCCTCAATGTCTTTGCAGCACTCATGAAAGAAGATATAAGTTAATACATTTTCAAGCAGACAAACATACACTAATCAAACTGAACATAAAAATGATCTACAACAAATTAAAAAAGTTGTTACATTAACTTTACTTTTTAAAACAGTTAAGTCAGTTATTATTTTGATCTGTTCACAATCATCGTGAGCTCAGGGTGGTATTGTTGGATTCTGTACATTTCACACGGATACACACAGGCTTTCACTAAATGGTGTACCACAAATCAAACAACTAGAGCGTTGTAAACTTGACCCTTTTAGCCGAGGTACAGCTATCTACTTTAGACAACTTATCTTCTATAAAGTTTAAGATAATTTTAATTTGCTCGCAATCCAAGGTCACTCTGGCCAGGACTGTTTTTAAGACTTCGACTTGTTCTAAGACATCTTGCTTGCTCTGTTCCTTCATCCTCTTCTCCAATTTACACATCTTGTCCGGATTTGTTCGCCTGTTAATGAAACAGAATCAACCTTAGTTACAGAGTGCCAGATTCCACATTCAATTAATTTATATCCCACATTTGGTGATTGTTGGTTTGCGAGTTTTAAGAACCCATGTTTAAACATTCATCACCTCAAAGTAGTCAGGATGGAGTCTTCCACCTGACTAAATCGACCCTTATCATTATCCGAGTTACTGGTAACTGGTGCAAAGGCACTGCAGTTTGAATCGAGTGCCGGCGAGTAGCTGGCAACTGGTGCAAAGGTGCCGCAGTTACCCTGGCTCTCTGGTGTAGGACTTAGGGGTCTAAAGAGATCGAGAGAGAAGGTGAAAGACACTTACTAACTTTTTATTATGTTCAAACTAAATTATCGAAATTATTTAAACCTGCCTTTTCTGAAGTTCAAAAGATTTAATTTAACTTCATAAAAATCAGTTAGCTAATAGTTTAGAAATTAAACAATATGAAAATGTAATGACTAAAGAATTTTTTTTTTAAAAAGTTATTAAATATACATATAACACATTCTGGTACATTACGTTACACAAGAATCCAATCTTTACCTTTTTAATGACTCATTTTCTTTGCCAACATTGTACTTAATGTCGAATGGTAGTTTGGAGAGGGAGGGGGTGGAATATAACTTCAATAAAAGAGTGAGAGAAAATGTGAAAATAAAATACATACAGCACTTACGGTTTTTTCTTTCATATTTTTAATTTTATTTTATTATTATTATTATTATTATTATCATTTTATTAATTTTGAGAAAAGATGTCATCGAACTAGGTTTAAAAATTTGGGAAAAAAAATTAAAAACTCAAAAAGTGATTAAATCAGATTAATTTTCGTTTCACAAAATTACACTTACCGAGATGGAAACGCAGACCGTTCCAATTCCTCCCCCATTTTAACCCATAACTCCTCAAAATCACTAAAGGAATCTGCGGTTTTGCTTGCGTCTCTGTGATGAGAAATACACAGTCCCGTACTAAGGGTAATCATGTGTTATATAAATACAAATTATAGATATTGTATTTTATATAATCTTATTCATCAACTTTAAAACAGAATAAAAGAAAAAAAGACGAACTAGAACTGTGTTCACCAACAATAAAGCTAGCATATCTTTATAAGAAAATATAAAATTCGAATTAAAAATAATGTTTAAAAAAATTGAAAAACTTATAAAACTTAACAGTCATAAACCTAAAAGAAAAGCTTCTTAACTTTGCACCTTAAAATAATTTAGCTAATTCTTAAAACAAAAGGAATATTTTACTTACAGGAAATCAAGGAATTCTTCTGCCATAATTGTCACTGATATTCTGTCAATGATAAAATCTGTTTGCAACCCCCCCCCCCCCCCATTTATATATTCTCTTGGACGGACGTTTTGCTCGTACGAAATAGGGCGTGTGTGTTGGGGTATCATCACTCTAATTGATGGATTGAGTAATGATTGAGAAGTTTCCGTATTATTCTTTATTCATAATCTGAACGTCTTTTGAATCACTTTTGAAAATACCGCCCGGTTGTTCTACACCTGCGCAAAGGTAATACATCATGACCTGACCTGAACTATTTCCTGGTCTTTATAGGTCAGGATGTATGTACTTAACGTGTGCTCATTCATTAAATACAGCTTTTATACAACTGTTCCAATAACTCATTTACTGAGGTCAGGTGAACCGATTTATTCACATAAAATTAAAAAATATGTATTATACATATAGTTATATTTAACAAAAAAAAATTCCGCCGTATATTATATATTCCTTAATTCCTACACGAATTACTAACAAGTAGTTTAATAAAAAAAAATAAAATATTTATATGCTTCAACTTGTTTTCAGTTAATGAGGCTAACAATACCATAAACCTAAAAGAAAATTTAATAACACTGCAGCTCATCTTAATATAAGATTTTAGCTGATATTTAAGTTCGTAACTACCCTTTGATATGTACAGTATACATATGCCATTGAAAAAAATATATACGCGAAGGGTGGGGGAGGGGGGGGGGCTTAAAAATAACAACAAAAAAACCAGAACAATTTTATGGGGATAGGATCAGAAACATGCTCATTTCTATATATGGTTGGGAAACTGGAGACTCTTGTCTGTCATTATAGGCGATGTTGTATCAGCTTGACATGTACATGAGGGCTATCCTCAGCCAGCGCCAGCACTGTGTAGGGAAAATAAACAATCAAAATAAGTTGATGAATTATAAAATACATTTATTATATATGATAAAGGGCCACCAACATGCGTAAAAATGATGGGATTGAATGTGTGAGATTTGTGACACACACTTGTCTCATACAAAAATGTCCTAATGATTTGTTAATTTCGAAACCGTCTTTCAAACCAGGGGCGGATCCGGAATTTGAAGTTAGAGTGGGCGCCAGTTTTAGGCAAGGGGTCTGAATAGCCCTGGTTGGGACCCAGGGGGCGATTTTTAGAATTATTTTTAAACGTTTGTAAATATAAGACCTGCAAAATCACAGCAAAACGCCTGTCATGCAGAAATATAAGAAACATATCTTTTTACTTTTTCCTTACGAATGGCTGTAAATTAATCAGTTTATGAAAAAAATCAAGTTCAATAGGACGATTTACTGATGAAGTTGAAAAAAGATAACCATGCCAGCTTGTATTGTACTCGTATAATAAACATGAAAGAGTCGTTTTAAACACTACTTTGTAAAACCAATTACTTAAAGTCGAGTGACTGTCACATTTGAATCAAAGAAGAGAATAATTAAAATAATCCGAGTTTCTATATTTGCAATAATATTGTATTTTTTGTTCAACATGTAGGGGGGGGGGGGTGAATTAAGTTTTTATAAGTTGTGCCCAATCCCATTGTAATATATAATATAAAATAAGTTAATGAATTATAAGATAAATCTAATAACTCATTTAGAAAATGAGACAGAAAAAAAGATTAATGGGATGTCGAAAAAAATGTGGTATGAATTGATGAAAAGTGTAAAGGTCGGGTTGTTGATGGAAACACCCGCGAAATCTTCGTCACATGATTAAAAATCCGTGCAACTTTTGCGGCATAAATGTGAAGATGGCCAGAGCAATGGATCGTGGCGTCCCACTGATCATTATGATCGGTGTCATATTGATAAATTCGATTGACGGCAACAGTATTCAGTGTAAATTGTGTACTGGACGGTTTGGGGTGTACTATTGTACAAGCGTTTCTCAGTCTAGACGAACTCCAAAAACAGCGTTTCCGGAAGTAAGAAATTGAGACTGAAAAAGACTCCGAAAATAGAGTCTGCGCATGCGCACACACACAAAAAATGGCGATTTTTGAGCAAAAATGATGGGTCTACAAAAACTGTCCGTGCAAAGTTTTGAAAAGTATGGCAATTATGCCAGTACTCAGAAATGCTAAACAAAAGACGTTGGAAGAGATCGTATTTGTTAGATTTTTGATTTTATTTGCAAAAAAGGAGATATTTACTTTTAAAGTTAACGTTTCAGGTCAGATCAATTACAGAGAAAATGATACGTTTTGAGAAGTAAATATGCATAATAAAAGGGATATATATGCAAAATGGGACAATATGTATTGTAACTGTTAAAAACTTGACTGAATTTTACACATAAATTAGCATTACGGTTTTTTAATTTGTGTACGACATCTGAATTGAACGCGTAAGTTTTTACCATAGTTATTTACCGATTTTTTTATCACATACGAACAGATATTATTATGAAAACATTTTTAAAACTATTATCTATCAATATAATAACTTTAAAAACCACTCTTCTAGATATTAAGGACACAACATGTCTTCTAAAAATGAACATGTTAATATCTCTGCTCCGTGGTGAAAAATGCGCATTTTCTGATTAAAATAAATACAAGTTGGGTGTCTTCAATAATAAATTTAAAGCACCTTTATTGTAGGAACGACATAAAATTTAAATCAAGGAGACAATAAATTAAATAAGAAAATATTTCTTACCGGCAGAATTGAATTCGATGTCGTATATCCAATTCACTATTATGCAAGAGTTTGAAGCGATAAATAAGTCAATATCCACAAAATAATTCAATAAATGCAATTATCCATTCAACAAAAAATAAAACGAAGTAATAATGCACTAAATACAGCCATTATGCAGCCGTTTATTTGGAGAAAGCGAGCGACAATCCATTGTTTGTTTACATCGGACGCCATTTTGCCGCAATGCATGATGGAGCCAAAGACTTCATTTTCGGAGTTCACGCTGTTTTTGGAGTTCGTCTAGACTGTTTCTACAGAATGCGTGCGGATTTTCGGGACACCAAGAATACGTGAAATCAAAGTATTTAGTTGTGGTGTGAAAATTATGCGTGCTGGTGAATGGGGCGGACAGGATCCAATCATTAGGAACCGAAACAACAATATCTGTATTAGTGAGTATATTTTTTATAACTCTCCTCCTCTTTATGAATTGGAAAGCCGAAAGCCACCGTGGGAAAAAAAACGAACCACGTGACAAAAACAGACCAATAGTCTTTCGAAATTTTTACTATGGAATGTGAATTTGTAATTGTATACGAAGGAAGAGGGGCTACCTCTTCGAGACCGATTCACAGGATAGAATTAACTCTAATGAGGGGGATTCACCGGCCTGATCCAATTCTACTACTTAATTATGTCTTTCACTTACACCCCAACCCATAATAAGATGCGAGCCGGTTTTGAAAGGGGGTCATCTCAAGAGTCACTTGAATTTTTTTCTGATAATTTTCCGGTAAAAGATTGTTGTGCAATATAAGTCATAGTCAAATAATTAATATAACAATGAATGTTTTATTTAAATTATGATCTAATATTTTATCATGAGACATTTTGAGAAGGGGGGGGGGGATAATGTCAATATGTTACTTGCTAGTCTTTACGTATATTAGCCTGACCTTGATTATGCATACTACATGTACGTCATCAGTCGTTGTGCACTTGTGTACATGGTGTCAGAAATATTTACTCTAATCATTTTCACAAGTTTAGCTTTTAAAAAAAAAAGCTAAGAAAGTCAGCCACTGGATTATTTCCCCCAGTAGTATTAATGTATATTATATCAAATTTTATTGAATTCTTAACTACCTTCTAAAACATTAGTTGCAGTCCCGCAATATGCGATGAATTTAAAACTTATGATGCAGATTGAAAGAAAGTGTGGGGATTGAACATTAAATTCTACTGTTCATCATAACTAGACATCATGAATTCCTTATTACCAGATTATGAGATATTACAATGTTTCTTTACAGAACCCAGTGTGTCTGCAACAACAACTGGGACCCATGCAATATCCTCAGAAACATCACCACTAACCAGGATCTTGAATCGGGTATCCAATCCCTCTGTTAAGGGTCAGTATTTAATTAATAACGTATACTAAAAGTATTCAGATAAGATTTTTAAAAACTTATTTTTATAAAATTATATATATCAAGTATATGTTGTTGAAATTACCATTGCAAATTAAAAAAAAACAAATATATTTTTTACTAGACATTACAATGTTACTTTCTTTACAGAACCCAGTGTGTCTGCAACAACAACTGGGACCCATGAAATATCCTCAGAGCCTTCACCACTAACCATGAGCTTGAATCGGGTATCCAATCCCCCTGTTAAGAGTCAGTAATTAATTAATAACGTATACTAAAAGTATTCATAGTTCAAGTATATATGCAGTTGAATTCGCCATTGCAAAAAAAAAAAAATAAAATAAACAAAAAAAAACCAAATATATTTATTATCAGACTTTGCAATGTGAACTTTCTTTATAGAATCCAGTGTGTCTGCAACAACAACTGGGACCCATGCAATATCCGCAGAAACATCACCACTAACCAGGATCTTGAATAGGGTATCCAATCCCTATGTTAAGGGTCAGTATTTATTGTATTTGTACTTTAGTAGGTATATTTATTTCCATCAAAGATACAATTAAAAAAACATGTTTGTAAATTAAAGTAGAAAATAATTGTGACATAAAAAACGTTGAAATATTTAGTTAAAATTACTGTAGTATTTTTAATGATTTTTTTTAGAAGCTGGTCCACAGTCATTGCTCAGTGATGTGGCAACTGGTATTTAACTGTTTTATTATTTCAATCTGTTTAAAAAAAAATTAAGATGTGTTTTAATAGAAACAAGGATTATAGACAAAATAGACAAATGAAAAAATTAAGATAAACTCACTTTAAAAAAATGTACCGAAGTATAAATTACTTTGTGCTAGAATTTAAATACTCTGTTGATAGTTGATGCATGTATATCTACTTTAATTTTCTTTTATTTAGGATTTTTGATTTGGGCAGTAACAGTTACAGCCCTAATAATATTTTATGGGCTACGGAAACTTGTCAAGTTTTGGATAAATCGCTGCTGCCCAGCACTTAACATTTCTGATATGCATTTGCTGTCACCATCATCATACACAACTTCAGCAGACACAGACACACCTCAGCAACCTAGACAACAAGCCCCCGCTCCTCAGCCGGGACAACAAGCCCCCATTCCACAGCCGGGACAACAAGCCCCCGCTCCTCAGCTGGGACAACAAGCCCGCATTCCACAGCCGGGACAACAAGCCCCCGCTCCTCAGCCGGGACAACAAGCCCCCATTCCACAGCCGGGACAACAAGCCCCCATTCCACAGCCGGGACAACAAGCCCCCGCTCCTCAGCTGGGACAACAAGCCCCCATTCCACAGCCGGGACAACAAGCCCCCGCTCCTCAGCTGGGACAACAAGCCCCCATTCCACAGCCGGGACAACAAGCCCCCGCTCCTCAGCTGGGACAACAAGCCCCCATTCCACAGCCGGGACAACAAGCCCCCGCTCCTCAGCTGGGACAACAAGCCCCCATTCCACAGCCGGGACAACAAGCCCCCGCTCCTCAGCTGGGACAACAAGCCCCCATTCCACAGCCGGGACAACAAGCCCAGTATTCTCCACCAAATACTAGAAGCAAAACAGCAAAAAAGAAACTAATGTTTGAAAGCAAGTCATAGGTTTTCGTGCTTTTATTGATGGGATGATTTTTCTTGGTTTTTGTTTAAGATTTAATATTTTGATGAATGTGTAGGCTGTAGTTCTGAAAGGATAATTCTATGAAGATTTGAAATAATTCTATGAAAATTTGAAATTTTGATGACTTTGTATTAAGTAATTTTTTTTTCTTTTCAGTTGTACAAGTGTTGAAGGGATTTACATATTTTATGACTGTGTAATCCTTAAATTTTTATTCACTTGTATAACTTTTAAGGGGACAACAGATTAAAGTTGTGAATTTTTGATGACAGATTTTTTTTTGAATGGGAAAAAGCATTAAGTTTGGGACTTTTTGACTGTTTAATTTTCATTATTTTCCTTTTTTTTAAAAAACAGATTTGTTAATGACATTTCACATTTTTTTATAACAAATTTGATAATGACATTTTACTTTTTTTAATGAATGTACATGTAGTACAGAGCAATGGTATCGTTTAAGGACATTGACTCGTTAGTTTTTCTTTTGTGTTTTCCTATGGTTGCTTTTAATGTTTTTGTATTTTTTTTTTTTTTGGTTATTTTTATTTTATGCGGCAGTTTGTCTTTTACTTGAATACTGATCAAAGGAAAATTTTAACTCCTGCCTTATTTGTTGATTATTATGATTTACATATGACAGTGATTATTTGGTGATTTTTGTGATGTGCAATTGATGTAAAATGATGTTTAAGCTTTTTTTTTTTAAACTGATAATTGTGATTTACACCTAACATTGATCATTTGCTTATTATTATTGTGATGTATAAGTTATGACATTAGGGTTAATTGTTGCAGCACATATTCCTATATAATAATATTTAATATCCAATATTTATAGATTACAATCCTTAATATTATATACCTGATATAATGCTATTAATAACAATGCGGGTTTAAAATATTTTTGAACATTTGTTTAGCTAGAAATTCTTTTGGTTATCAATTGGGTTTATTGATATAAAAGTTTTTTAAAGAACAAGTTTGTACAAGGTTTATATTAAGCATGTTATATGCTATTTATAGATTTTTTTGTCATTAGGCCAGTATATTTTTTTAACTTAACATTGTTTTAACCTAATGTCGTTTCTTTGAAAATATGTTAAGTATTAGGAAATACTTAAAATTTATGTTACAGGAATTTTGTCAATAAAAAAGTATTCTTTCTATTTTGCTTTCTTTATTCTATTAATGTACTCGAGTTCAATGAATGGATATTCTGATAATTGTGACATTACACTGTCTGTAAAAATAATGTTTAACTGGTATTTCAATTTCATTTAACAAATAACTAGCCATGTTTATTTTTAATCAAACCAAATATACCTTTTGTCCTATGTCATGGATATAAATTTATATATATATATATATATATATATATATATATATATATATATATATATATATATATATATATATATATATATATATATATATGTAATTAAGAGATGGCAGACAGCGGTTTATTGAAAGAAATCCTTGACTCCTTGAACGACCCAGAAACCGTACAGTTCTTTGCAGCAGCCAATGGTTTAGTCGGTGATGCCAAAGTCGAGAACCGATTAAGAGAACTCCAGTGGGAAAAGCACATTGACGATTTATGGCAGGAGGTTCTCTCTGATATGGAGTCTCCTCCTAAAAAAAAGTGTCATTCTCTCAATGATGGCAATCGACCTTCTACAAGTAGGCAGATGGGGGGCGGTGGGGAAAGTTCCGATTCTAAGGACACATTAGCAAAACCTTACTATATCTGGAAGAGAGATACCAGGACCTTCAAGAAAAATCTGGCCCGCGACACCACGTTCAAGGTCAAATTCAACGAACAGTGGAGGGGGGATAAATTAATAGATATCCAAAACAAATTACACGAGATGTTCGACGATCTGTTGTCGCAGGCCAGGGGTCACGATGCGGATTTGGGAAGGGTGGTCTTAAGTCATCCGAGTTTAAACAATCCTATCGTCGTGCCGCTGCAGTCCTGGGAAATATTGAATGCAGATGTCGTCATGTCTGAGATCACCAAGGTACTCAATTCGAACGAAAGCTTACCCGTAGACGAAAACCTGCTAGTCACCGTCGGGTCCATTGACTTACCTAAAGGGGGAGGTAACCCTAGAAAATTACCCATTACAACTCTTTTCGGTCCTAAAAACAGTATAGAAAGGAAAAAAATCACTTTTTCATGTTCAAAATAATGACAATTTATGTATGGCCATTTCCATCGGTCTGTGTTTTCTAAAAACGTGTAAGAAAGTAGATACGGAAACATGGAACAATTTAGTGGGGAATGATCCTGGAACGATGCTAGATCACGCCCTCAAACACCGCACTGTTTCTCAAACATATTATGACAATATCTTGAAAACGTCGAGACAAAAAATGCAAACGGAGCTGGCCATGGGGCTGTGTGAAAAAGCTGGTGTGCCCAATGACAGGTATTTAGGTGTGAATGATATCGAACCTTTCGAAAATTTACTTGATGTCTCGATCAACGTCGTGTCCTCTGCAGTAGGAAACAAATTTGTCAGGGTCACAGAGGATCAGGGTAAGCCTCGTCTCTATTTGTATCACGTAGATTCGGAAAAGGAAAAACACTGGCACGGGATTGCTAGGATACAAGGATTTTTTAAGGGGTCGTATTTTTGCCATAGTTGTTTAAAACCGTATAAAAATAAATCCAAACACTCTTGTGCCACCTCATGTGAAGTATGTTTACATGACAACTGCCCAGAAACAGACGTCCAAATGGGTTGTCGTTCCTGTGGTCGGATCTGTCGGTCTTGGACGTGTTTTAAGAGACATAAACAACATAGAGTTGTCAAGAAAGAGAGTTATCCCCCCGCCTGTGACGTGTTTTACCAATGCAAAAATTGTAGAGTCACTCTGGAACGTGCTAAGCGCTCTCCCGATTTACATATTTGTCAAGAGTGGCAATGCCCCAACTGTCGAGAATATCAAACGGGGGAACACAATTGTTATCAGAAATCGCATACGTCTGATATAGAAAAGAGAAACAAGAAATTTATGTTCTACGATTTTGAGACGCGTCAAGATGACATTTTTCATTGCGACAAAGGATACAGACCGTCTTGCATCAGATGTCGCCATTGTGTTAAGGAGGAACGCCAGTGCCCTAACTGCAGACTCTGTCAGAACTGTCGTGATCCGTCCTGCGGTCTACAACAACACAAAGTCAACTTTGCCGTACTACAAACCACTTGTCACAAATGCGAAAAAGAGGAACTAGTGGACGGTGCTACCTGTCATCATTGTGGAACACGATGTGGAAAATGTTCCCGGACCCGAAAAGGAGAATATTTTATTCCCCTTGTACCGACACTTGTGGGAAAAGGGAACTCGTGTTTTCTGGTGACAGCGCCGCCGAGCAGTTTTGTGCTTACGTCACCAGTAAACACTGCAGAGACTCGATTTTAGTTGCACACAATGCCAAAAGTTTTTACTTGTACCCCGTTTTAGAAGTTCTCATCGACCGACACTCCATTCGACCTAGCAAGATCATATACAATGGTTCCAAAATCATGTACATGCACATTGCCCAAAAACTGAATTTAACTTTTGTGGATTCCCTCAATTTCCTTCCCATGAAACTAGCTAAAATACCAGAAGCTTTTGGTCTACAGGAACTCTGCAAAGGTTACTTTCCCCATTTTTTTAACACTAAAGCCCATCAAAATTATGTGGGGCCATATCCAGAATTAAAATATTATGGATACGATGCCATGTCGATTGGGGAGCGGAAAAAGCTTGCAGAATGGCACGCAACGAAACAGAACGAAAGCTTTAATTTTCGAGAAGAAATGTTGCAATATTGTCGCTCGGACGTTGATATACTGAGACGGGGCTGTCTGGAATTTAGAAAATTAATGATTAAGGTGACGACCATCAAAGAACACATTACACAAGCAGACGGAACCGTCAAGAAAAGAACCACGTTTGGAATCGACCCATTTGATTACGTCACCATTGCAAGCGTGTGCATGGGGATATTCAAATCTCTATTTTTGAAAGGAAAGTACAAGATAGAAATCACCAAAGATGGGGAATGTTCTTGGTATGATGTCCATACGCTTGAGGGTATAGAAGTGGTCAAAATTGATGATTCGTGGACGTCATTAGTTGACTTAAGAAAGGACGAAAATATACAGATAGGAAGACGACATTTCAAGAGTCCCATAGCAGTAGTGCCCTCTCAAGGTTATACGAAACGCGACAATTACAGCAAGATTTCCATTCAGTGGTTAGAATGGTTGATGGAAAAAAGCCGTCAACGGGGAAATCCCATTAGCATTTCTCACGCTCTCAACGGAGGTGAATATCAAGTCCCAGGCACCAATTATAGATGTGACGGATTTGTTCAGACTCCCAACGGAAAAGGAACCATTTACGAATTTTATGGTAAGACCTGGCAATATAGTTCTGTTTTTATATCTAACATTTACCCCCTTTCCCCCCCTAAACTGGAGGGGGGGGGGGCGGCGGCGGCGGCGTACCTGGACTTAACCACGAATACATTAATGTTATTAAATTTGTTTTTTTTTTTTTTTTTTGTATCTCTAAACTAGGTTGTGTGTTCCACGGTTGTCCCTCCTGTTTCCCAGAAGACCGAAATTTCATCAAACATCCGTCCACCAATCAAACAATCAAAGAATTATACGATATGAAAATAAACAGAGAAAAAGAACTTAAAAATCTAGGATACAACTTGATTACCATTTGGGAGCATCAGTTTAAATATCAACTGGACAAGAATGCGGCATTACAACAATTCGTGTGGACCCTAGATCTCCAAGACCGACTCGACCCACGTGACAGTTTTTTTGGTGGCAGAACCAATGCCATCAAACTACATTACAAAGCTGCAGAAGACGAAACCATACAGTACTTCGACTTTACCAGTCTCTATCCATGGACCAACAAATACTGTCGCTACCCCGTTGGCCATCCTACCATTGTTACGGACAATTTCCAGGACTTGTCACAGTACTTTGGACTTGCCAAAATTAAAATTCTCCCCCCTAGAAAACTTTATCATCCTGTACTTCCTTATAATTCGAATGGAAAATTAAAGTTTCCACTGTGTCGCACATGTGCGGACAGTGAAAATCAAAATGAATGTACATGTTCTGAAGAAGACAGAGCCATCACGGGCACGTGGTGTACTCCCGAAATTCAAACGGCAACGTCTAAAGGATACAAAATTTTAAACATTTATGAGGTCTATCATTTTACCGAATCGTCAAAATACGACGTCGAGTCGTGTGAGGGAGGATTGTTTGCTCAATATGTAAATATGTTCTTAAAAATCAAACAGGAGGCTTCGGGATTTCCAGCCGAATGCGTTACGGAAGAAGATAAATGGAAATACATCAGGGAATACAAAGAGAAAGAAGGCATACAATTAGACTATAACAAAATTTAAAAAAATCCCGGTTTGCGATGTTTAGCAAAACTCTGTTTAAATAGTTTTTGGGGTAAATTTGGTCAAAGGTTAGGCATGCAACAGTTTATGTTTATTCACGAAGCAGAAGCCGAAAAATTTTTTCAGATGCTTTCAGATCCAACAAAAGTACCACACAATTTTCACATTGTTTCAAGAGACATACTCCATTTAGAGTGGAGTAACAACCCTTTGTTTACTCAATTCGATAACAAAACCAATATATTCTTAGCCTCTTTTACCACCATGTGGGCTCGACTGAAACTATACAGTGTTCTTGACAAATTAAAAGAGAATGTTTTGTATTTTGATACAGACAGTGTTATTTTTAAGGCTAAAAAGTCGGACGACTTAAGTTATCTACCCATTGGTAATTACTTGGGAGAGTTAACTAACGAGATCGCCCCACAAGATGGTTACATTGTTGAATTTGTGTCGGGGGGTCCTAAGAATTATGCTTATCGTACGTTGTCGGGGAAAGAAGAATGTAAAGTTAGGGGATTCACACTGAACTGGGCGAACTCAAAACTGATCAATTTCGATGCCATTAAGTCCATCATCTGCACCTCACACGACCGACAAATCGAAATTGTCAACCCCTGTAAAATATCGAGAAACAGTAGAAAGAGGAAATTGCTAAACAGAGTAGAAACTAAAAATTATAAAATGGTGTACACCAAAAGGAGAATTCTTCCCAACTTAGACACGTTGCCCTTTGGATTTTAATTGTGAAAAAAAAAAGTTCTTAATGTTTTTATCTTTTTATTGAATGACATTTACAAATAAATGATCAACATTACACTTTTGTTCATTGTTATAACATTGTTAATAGGTAAGCCAGGGAATTTTTTTTCTTCTTCCGTCGAACATTAATGATTCCAGGAGGTCTTCCGACTTTTTTCTTACTGACATAACCAGTTCCAGTTTGTAACAGGTGGGTGTCATCCACTTGGTCGCCGCAATTCTGGCTTCGATCTTCGGGGGTTTGCTTCGAGGTCTGGACGGTCTCGGATATAGCTTGAGTCGAGTGATCCTTGGCATAGTCCAATTTTTGAAGTAAATGTTCATATTTCAGTTTCGGCACGAGTATCATTTCCCTCGCCATTTTCTTTGGAAATGTTGCACAATAGGTGTTATTAAAAGTGATATTAAAGAAGTATGTTTGAGTAATATCCGACGTTTCTCTCGGTTGCTGACTTCTCTGGATCCCAGAGATCGAATGTGTGATTCGTAAGGTTTCAGTTGGTTTATATACTTTTTAGGCAAAGGATAAGTCCCCGTATAAATGTTAAGTGCTATTTCACTAAGCACATCATACTGTTCACTGGTCAAGGCCTTAACGAGTACTTTTTGCTGTGCACTGTCAGCATACAAGAGAAATTTTAAAAAAGCCTCGTGTTTCTTCACCGTTTGCTTCATGTTTAAATAATGAGTAGAGAAAACAAAATCATTCTTATTTATATAGGTTGGTAAATGATCATCTCCTCACCTGGGAGGATACGAGACCTTAGTTGATACTCTCTGTTTTGTGTTGGTTCTAAACAAACATGCAAGTAACCGAAATTTGGTCGAGTTGCGGATTCGTATGCCGCTTTGAAAAAGGGGACCTGTCCTGGTAATATCTGAGATCAAAAAGTGATGATCTGTCTAGAATCACGGTAATTCTTAAACAAAATGATATTGAGGCAGTTCAATGAAATGGTCCTTTCATATTTCCCCGGAGGATATAGGTTCTGGGACAACATCACTGTGGTCATGTTTCTATGATGAGATGTCACCGTGAACAGATGTACACAGTCCTGAGATTGTGCAACTTGTAACATGAGATCATCCAGTACCAGTATGGTGTGATCCATACCCTCGGTGTATTGTTCTATGTCTTCTTTAGAAGGCAATCCTTGGTGTAATGATAAGTTTGGTATCGTCTGCACCATTTCCTCAAACATAGGTTGATGTTCAGAATAAGCATACACTATTCTATCCACAGGTATGGAAAACATACCATTAGCGTTTTGTAAAAGTTTTTTAGTAAAATGTGTTTTTCCGCTTTGTGTACTACCACATATTAAAATGGTGGTAGGTGCAGAAAAAGGTAGCAAGGAACGGCTGTTCCACCATTTATTCATACTCTCTGTTTCCATGTTTCTCAGTCGCCAGACTTTTTCAAAATGAAGTTAGGTGCTATGTCACACACATATAAATATTTATTCAATTATAAAATAACTCCTGTATATACTTTTCATGATTTTTAATGATACATAAAATATTCATGCATAAAACTTTTTACAAAACCATCATTAGATTGAATGTCATTAGAAAATAAATCATACACATGATTGAACGAGTTTTTTAAACACAATCTTGCAATTAGAAATACTAATACATAAAGTCCACATAAATCGGAATTACGAGGTTGAAGTCGAATGGATTTGAAACGACAATCAACACTGTTCGTTTTCACAAAGTTTTGTATATCTTGACTGTAATCAGCTGGGGATTTTCCAAGGCTGTCGAAGAAGTCTGCTTGCAATGGACTGTACACGATGATTGTCACCCAGTGTTCTCCGGGTAATGGTAAAGGTTGTGTATTGACGATAAAGGCGCTTGGAAATTTTGTAACCCTTTGAGGCAATGTATTACTAGCAAATACACCTTTTACGTAACATCTTAAGCAAGGATCTGTCTTCACCATATTTAAAAGATGCGTTGAATTCATGGTTGAATGTAGTTAATGTCACGTGATTTGTCAACCTCAATTAGGGATGAAAAAGTTGCAAATACAATGGCATTGGCAGCTTTGGTTGTTGCTTGTTTGAATTTCAATTCCAGTCTGGTGTTTCCCCTACGAATCAGGTTTAAATACTCTTCTCCAAATCCACAAGGATCTATCGTAAACACAAAAAGTGAGTATCCATTTCCAAAATTATCACGAGAGATAATCAGTCCAGCATCGTTGTTCCATTTCCCAGAGGCTTCAAATAAACGAGCATAGGCGGCTGAATAATGTCCTGCCGTAAAGTCCGTCTTCAGTGGTCTTACAGGTACGCTTTCTCCGTTGACGTATATCCCGATATCTGTTAATCCCATATGCTCGAAATTAAAGGGGTTGGCTGTGTAATCCCCATTCACAGCTTTCTGGTCCACCAGAGCCACCACGATTCGATCGGGTACTGCCTGTGGAAATATATTGTCCCAGTAAAACTCGGTAGATCCTTTGGGTATGGTATTCATTTTTAGTTCATTTCTTGATATGGTATACTTCACAGGGGTGGATTCGATCTGTTTACTATGGTTCAGCAGAACACCTGGATCAACACGTACTTTGGCCACTTTATACACGACGTCTTGTAATTCTAACTTGTAGGCTGGTGTAGAAGCGGCAGACATGATGACAAAAGGGGCACTGGATCTAAAGAGTTTGATGTAGATGTTTACTCCGTTTATCAAGTATTTATCTATATCAAAGATATCTTCCATCAGGTTCCCTTCCAGCTCAAAGACTTTACTTTCCTGAGTGTAACCATACCGCAGGACCAGACCGGCATTGCCTCCATTGTATGCATTACCGTCGGCAAGATTTCCCTCGTCTTTAAAGAACAGCTCAGATTGTTTTTGTGAATTGAGTTCGTCTTTCCCGCTGAACAAAATTGTTTTGAGATAAGCCTTCCACGGGTAGTTATTGGTATTGAAAGAGACCAATTTGTTGTTCAAGTAGACATCCATTTGGGAGAACATGCTTTGTAGAGGTAAGTTCACTACACCAGTTTCTTCGTTTGCTGCCAGTGCCGATCCATCTGCTTTCAGAATTCGGGCTTTTACGTATAGTTTACTTCTTTTTAAATCAATGTATTCTGCTCTTGAGCCTGACACTACGATCTCAATGGGTGTGTCAGACACTCCTATGCTAGAAATTGGTCTTGCTTCTGTAAAATACACTTTCTCGACCGCTACTTGGTTTGTGGGGGATGCAAAAAGAGAGAGTTCCATTGGTTGTGCTATGTCTTTATTATCACTGCTTAAAAATGCCATTTTTACAGCTTGAAGATACTTCTGTAGTTGTCAATATTAAATTCTTTCTTTTTTCTAGACTGTGTTTTCTTGCTTGGCACTCGTCGCTGTTTCTTAACGGACGTCTTTTTCTTTTCTCCGGTGGTCTTTCTTTGTTTGGGTTTAGATGCCTGTTTTCTCCTCGGAGTTTGAGATGTTGTTGGCTTCAATTTCTTTGAAGGAATGACAGAAGATTCTGTACGTGGCCTTTTTATACTTCCCTTCACTTTGACAAATGGAGCTCCCTCTTTTACATCCTTGGCATGTTCCACTTTAGCTCTTTCCTCCACGGCAGCTACAGGGGTCACTTGAGTGCTGTTTTCTACTGATTCTAACTGTGAGTGAGGCCTCAGTGGAATGACATAAGACTTGTAACTTCTCACACCTCTCCCAATTTGTTTTGGTTTGTATTTGTAAGGGTTGAATTTTTTCTCTGCCATGTTCTTGTAGAAAGCTTCCCATATTTTGGGATCTCTGATGTAGGTCTGACTATTCATCATAAAACGTAAGGAAACTTTTTGAAATGAAGTGTTAAAGTCACCGGTCCGTTTAAAAATGAAACTAAATTTCCTTCTCTGTCCGTTATATATATATAGCAATCTGCTGTAATTGGCCAATTTTAACTGGAATGTAATAAGGTAGTGTGTAAGTGATATTTTCTGGTTTCTCTCCCAGGTATATGCGTCTTAGGAGGGGTGCCTCTTTCCCCCCAATAATTGTTTCCTCACAAATATCGCAACACACAAACAATTCTGATTTCTTCTTAGATGAAATCCAGCTCTCTGTAGAAAATTCTGTCAAGGCAACAGTCCAATATCCGTCAAATTGAATCTGTTTATTTAATTGAACTCGGAAGCAATGGGGTTTATTTTCAAAATATTCAGAGCTGTCCGTAGACGTCAATACCATTCGAACGCTCATCTTGAATAGAGAGA